GCGACCGCCGGCGCTGCACCGGGAGGAAGCTGGCGCGGAAGGGCCTGGTGCGCACCCTGCGGCCCCGGCAGCGCTTCCCGGGGCTCGTGCTCAGCCCCGTGGCCACCGAATACGTCTCTCCCGCCGACAGGTGAGGCCCCGCGGGCATTACACGCTGGTTCGTGGCCAAAATGACACGCGAAGCGTCTGACCTAACCAGTACGTTACACTGATGCGCGAGCGTGAGAGGCAAACAAACATTTCACCGAACCAGGCTAACGTTTTTGCACAGCTGGTGTCATGACAAGAGCGTCTGTGATGGCAGTGAGAAGTCAAGGTGTGCATCCTGTGGGTTAGCTTGTTCAGAGCATGGGCTGTAGCTGTTGTGTCTTCTGGGATTCCATACTTAAGTTCTGCTATGCAAGCATAGTGCACTGCCCAGAAAACTTTGGGGGAAATGAGGATTTTCTTCAAATGTGCCTGCAGAATTTTTATAAAGATCATAGAATCATAGAATCAGCCGGATTGGAAGAGACCTCAAAGATCATCCAGTCCAACCCTACCATGGTCACTAGACCATGGCACCAAGTGCCACATCCAGTCTCAACTTGAAAACCTCCAAGGATGGTGAATCCTGGGCAGCACATTCCAATGTCTGATCACTCTCTCTGTAAAAAATCTCTTCCTAATATCTTACCTAACCCTCCCCTGGCAGAGCTTGAGTCTGTGCCCTCTTGTCCTGCTGCTGTTGCCTGGGAGAAGAGACCAACCCCCACCTGACTCCAACCTCCTGTCAGGGAGTGGCAGAGGGTGATAAGGTCTCCCCTGAGCCTCCTCTTCTCCAGGCTGAACACCCCCAGCTCCCTCAGCCTCTCCTCATGGCACTTGTGCTTGAGTCCCTTCACCAGCCTCGTTGCTCTTCTCTGGACCTGCTCCAGCACCTCAATGTCCCTCTGAGCTGAGGGGCTCAGAACTGAGCGTGTTAGTGTGGAAAACACATTATCACTGGGTGTTTATATGCAGGTGCTTTTATTGAAGAGCTCTGGGAATCAGGTACAGACAAACCCAAATCTGATTCCGACATGGACTCCAGATGGATACATTTTATACCCTTTCTTTACATAATCATTGTGTAATCATACGTTAATCATTACTTGGCTATTGTTCTATCGTGTGTATATTGATTTCCCCCCAGCATGAGTTCAATTCCCTTTCAGAATTGTTGTATAATGATCTATTATACAGGTGGGTACACAGGTATAGATTCACATCGTTCTACTAAGACAATGCTCATTCTTGTGACTAAGGCCTACTTTAGCTACCATGATTTGAGAAACATTTTAGCCCCATGTTATCAAGCACAGGATTCAAGGTGTGACCTCATCAGCGCCGAGTCCAGGGGCAGAATCACCTCCTGGTCCTGCTGACCACACTGTTCCTGATCCAGGCTAGGATGCCAGTGTACTTAGAGGAAAGATTTTTCTTTAGAAGCTAGCAGAGAAAGTAAATCTGGTTTAAGAATTTGAATGTTACTATTAACCACACTCATCTGTCATATTTTTTAATCTTAGAATTTTTCACATGCGGATACACCTTTTTAGCCACAGGCATGTTTGGAGGAAAAGCATGCTGTCATTCTTCCTCATTGCGTCTCTACTTTAGGTCCTTGCAAAACACACTTTTTGACTGACCAAAGGGTGGGTAGCACGCAAACTCATTGCCAGCATGAAGCAGCAGTTGGAATTCTCATCCACCCTTGTAATGGTGACAATTTTTCCAACAGAGTGATGTTTCTGTGTTCAGGCACATCATTGCTCAGAGTGGAATCGCAGTCATCGATTGCTCATGGGCCAAGTTGGAGGAAACTCCCTTCAGGATCATGAGGGGGAGGCACCTGCGCTTGCTGCCTTACTTGGTGGCTGCGAATCCTGTGAACTACGGCCGGCCCTGCAAGCTGTCCTGTGTGGAGGCTTTTGCTGCAGCTTTTCACATTGCTGGTAGGCTCACTTTGCCTCACTGTCCCATACACTTGTTGCCAGCAATTCTTACACCCTTAATAAATCAAAGAGATGCTCTGCGATGCAGTAAGCTGTAATGCTGTCACCCTGCTGTGCTGGTTTGAAAGCAAACCAGTGAGAGACTCCAAGTCAGAAATACAATTTAGGAGCAAAAACCCCAAAACAACAAATGCAACAATACAAAAAGGAACCACTGGCAGTCGGGAAGTAACCTGACACGCTGTCACTCAGGGTGTTAGTAGTAGTCTGATGAAATGGTGGCTGCAGTTCTCCTGGGGCGATGGGTCTGTCGGAGCAGTGATCCCACAGAGGACCAGATTGTCTGGCTTTCTTCCAAGTACTTGTATCTGGTAGCATCAAGGTTTCTGTGGAGTAGGACACTCTCAGGACACACGAACTGATGATGCTGGTTTTGTCTGGATGGTGCATGATGTTAGAGAAACTGTTAAAAAAAAGCTGGAGAAAGCATGAATCCTTAGGCACCTTTGCCTTAATGAGAGGCAGCAGTTGATAGTTAATAGGGTGGGTTCTGGTTAAGGACAAAATCAATTGTCTCCTCTTGTGATGTTTTGCAAACTCATCACAGAACTTTGACAGCCGAAGAGAAATGCTCTCCTGTACTGCAGACAAACCTTCTGAAAATACTGTATGTACGAGTGGCTTCTTCCTGAAGAACTGGGGGACCTAGAGCTTGAATCATCCATTGCCTGTGCAAAATATTTTAGTGTAACACTCCCTAACAAACTATGAACTATTCCTGGATAACTCTTCAAGTTAAACTGAAATTTGAAAATCCTTGTAGTCTTTCTTAAAGTTTTAATCCTCCAGCACTGAAAAAAGTGCTGCAAACATCTCACTAGTGTAGTGATACCTAGGTATGTACTGAGCTTGGAAACCTGTAAGCTGAGTGAAGTCTCAGGCTGAAAAAGAAAACTAATCACTTGGTTTTTTTGTTTTAGGATTCCCAGACCTAGCCACCATTCTTCTAAGCAAATTTAAATGGGGTGAGGCATTTATTGACTTGAACAAAGATCTGCTGGACAGATACGCAGCCTGTCATTGCCAGGATGACGTGCTAAGCGTTGAGAAGGACTTTTTAGAGGGTGTCCAAGAGACAGAAGAGGAAGAAATAGGTAAGAAAAAAACAAACCAGACACCACAGACCTCCTTTTCCTAACTTGTTTCCTTACAGTCTTCCTTTAATCTCATGAAAATGTTGGCGAGGTGGAAGATAAGTGCTTTGTTGAGATGTGTTGTTCTCTCTTTGTACTGTGTATTCTTAAGTAAGTTTGCCCTTTTTTTTTCAACTCAAATAGATGAAAAATAACTAAAGCCATTTAATGCACAGCATTCACAGCTGAAGTGTGGAGCAGCTACCCTGACTGAGTTAGGATACTGGAGAAATAAGGAGCAAAAAGAAAATGTGATGCTTCCTTGTTTTATCTGCAGATGTTAAAAGCAGAGTCTGAGTAAAAAGGCTAGTACTGGAGAAGGAAGTGTAAGACAACTACAGGCAGACAGTCTGACAGCAAGTTAGCTATACACAAACCTAAGAAAGACCTTTTATGGACATATCTATATAGTCCCCAATGGAGAGGTTTAAAATCTGACCTATAAAGGTAGTTAAAATAGTTCATACTAAGTCCAAGTGGTTTGATTCCTAAGTTCTTCCAGTAACTTACTGGAATCCCAGTATTCCAGGCTACATTCACAGCTGAGTGCTTGATCTCATTCAAGACAGCACAAAGGCAAATCAAATCATTCAAGAACATATGAAAAGAGCTGCTCCTAATCAACGTTCTCCTGTCAGTGGCTGAGTCCCATGAACCAGGCCTGGGGCTGGCACTGCCAGCCTGAGCTCAGGTGCTCTGAGCTTTGGTCTCTCCCAGGCCGGATCTAACCATCCTCTTGCTTGGTGGAAGCCCTGACTACTTCCATTAACCTGAAGACTGTTCTTAAGGGGCAGCACAACTATGCCAAATAAAGCAAACTGCCCCTGCAATCCTGTTTCCAGGACTGGTTGAGGGACCAAAGCTGTTGTGCCTTGTCTGACTTTCCTGCGGTAACAGTTAAGCCAGAGTAAACCTAGCCCTACACTTCCTCAGCAAGAGCCAACCCTGGGCAGCTGAACTTCACTTCTCAGTAGGCATCAGCTAACTAGAGAGCCCTTTTAGAACTGAATCATTCTGAGAACATCCATGTTTACTTACCAAAAGCCTTAGAAAGCTGTTCGTACTGTCTGGCTACCCCTGCAGGGGGTAAGGGAAAAGAGGGAAGAGACTAGAATGGGCAGGCAGGACCTGGGTAATTTTCTCACCTCCCCTGGTTTCTAATCAAACAACTATGATAAACTTACCAGAAAGCTGAACCAGACTTCCTGTGCGTTCGCCCCCCGCCAGTAATCTTCTCCTAAAATGCAAATTAAACCATTAAAATATGTCTTGTTCATCAGCGTATGCAGTTTCTCCTTCTTTTTCCAGATCCATTTGATGTTGACTCGGGAAGAGAATTTTCTAATCCCAACAGGCCAGTCAGTTCTTCAGGGTAATGAAATTTAATTTAGATACTATTTTTTTTTTCTTGTTACAAGTTATTTTGCTGTTATAATCCTGAAAAATGTTTCCAGTCTAGCACAAAGCCAGGAAGACTCTGAGGAGGACAGTGGGAGCACTCCAGATGATGCCACTGAAAGCAGTGAGGAGAGCAGTCCAGAAGCTGATGGTACTGTATAGTTCCTGCAACAACTGCCAATAACTCAAGTATTTGAAAAGTAAACTAAGTAACTAAATGTCAAGCCCAAACCCCCCAAGAAAGTCCACATACCACCAGAACATTAAAAACATCCCAAATAATGCCAAAGGGTTGTAGCATCTTGGATAAAGAACTTCTCTTGCAAACAGTGAAGTGTGTCTTATTCCCCTGTAACATGGTGCTTGGCAAACCTCAGTCTGTGGTTTTTTGGGGTCTCTTACACACGAGGGCTCTGCATTATTTAATTCTTAGGCAGCTGTGGGATGTTAGCTATTTTGTGGGGAGCCTGAAGCTTAGTTATAATTTAAAAAACCCACCCTGTAGTCTAATCAGTGTCTGGGAAGTGCTTCATAGGGATTGCTTTTACCTAATAGTGTAAGTAAACCTCTCTGAGCTGTATTTCAGCAGAAAATCACAACTAAACTCTTGCTGTGTTCAGAGTACGTAAGGAGACTGACTTCCTGCAGGCTTGAACCTGCCATATGTACCTCAACTACTTCATCTCATTTAGGGTAAACTGACTAAGCTTAAAAGGAAAAAAAATGCTTCGTGAACTGACTTCACATCTCAGTATCTTTTTCAGTAACTTGCTCGTTTTAGTCACTCTGATACAATCCTAAGCAACACACAACGTTCTGTTTATGTTCAGAACAGTGCCGTAACAGCTCAGGTCTCAGACTCAGCACTGTCTGTCAGCATTCCTCACTCACAGCGGCACTGTACCAAGTCAGAAATACACATTGTCTGGCCCTTAAAGGTTTGAGTCAGAGACTTGCATCAGCACTAGTCTCTTAGGTCACTTGTCCATGTGCCTGCCAGTTTGTGGTGAGAGTGAGCTCTTAGCAGCTGCTTTCTGTACTTTTAACCAAAATACTCTCTGGAGTGTCCAGCACCCAACTGGAACTTACTTAAACCTAAACTTCAGCACCCCTTCAGCAGAACTGCAGATCCTAAGGACAATTTGTAGAGCCACCTTCATAGATCAGAGTTCTTCATGTCACTCTCCTCTTAACCCTCTGCTTCTAGGGCTATGAAATGCTAGCCCTGCTGGAGCTAGAGGAGGGACTAAGGGCAGCAGTGTCAGTGGTACAAAAATTCACCATCCCTTTTAAAAACAGCACAAGTAAATGAATTTGACTGAATCTTTCTTTGACTCGGTTTCCCAGTTACTCCCTTTCTCACCCCATGCACACAGAGTCTTTTCCAAAGGAGCTGTTTGAAGAAGGACAGATAATGACAGGCAATACTACACAGCTTTCAAAGGGCTGTTCTGATTTGGGGGAATGCTGTTACAGGATAAAGCTGTTGTGATCAATCACAGACGAGCAGAACAGGTCTGAGAACAGAGCTATATCACACCTAGGATAACTCTAGTCTCGAGCAGTGGCCGTTTTTAACAACCAACACTGGAGGAGCTGCAGCTCTGATGGAACAGCTTTGCACAACTCATCTGTTTTGCAGAACGACTGACTGAAAAATACAATTGCAAAAAGCAGTGACAGTTTAATAGAGGGCATATCAGCTTGACATACAAGAAAATAACATCATTTAACTGATTCCCTTTACAGAAGGAAACTGCAATTGCATAGAGCACATCCTTTTCCTCAAGGCTGTACACATTGACACGTGGAGGAAGGCACAGAAGTATTTCTGATAAGCAAGTACCACTTCAAATCCCCAGCTGCTGTAGGTCCCCCTGCATTCCTGGGACAGACTAACGCTCACGTTGGTTTATGTTTACAGTCACACCAGGATGCTGGTCCCGTTCTGCACAGTGAGCTCCTGGTCCCTAGGCAGTCAGAGTTCTGCAGGCTGCTGCAGGAGCTGAGCAGAGCTGACTGGCTGCAGGGCCCTGGCAGGGCCACACTCACCCCGGGGGTAGGGCAGGGAAAATAAACGAAGGCAACATCAAAACAAAAGGCAAATGCAGCATCACAGGTCTTAAAAACAGGACTTGCACTGAATTGTGTTCAGAGCCATTTAAATGGCAGTCTTTTAATCATTTTAATGAAGATAAATGAAACAAAGCCCTTTATATAAACAGTTTATTTACTCTAAACAGCAACACAGACAGAATGCCATATAAACACAAAGGAAGTGATGCAGAATAAGGATGCTGGCTGACTTTGGATCTCGGAGGCTCTTAAGCAATAACAACCTAGTTTCTGAAAGATAGAAAAAACAAATTCAGGTAGGGAAGGGGGTGGAGGGCATGATTTTTTTCATACAGCCAGCTAGAGGCTAAATATAGTTCTACCATTTTAAAGCATGCCTGCATCAGATAGCAAAGTAACTAGAGATACTAGTGAATTTATAGAAGTATAAAAGTTTATAATTTTACAGCAGTTGAAATACTGACATCAATATTAAAATAAAAGCAAGTTTTACATAACAATCAAAAATACAAAAGACTGAAGGAAGAGACCCTGTATGAAAAAACTGGGGGCAATTCAGCAAATTTAGAACTGTATACAAGTGGCGAATATGGAAAATGGCACACATACAACCCCCTCCCCTAAGTGAATATTAATTGTACATAGCAACATTAGATTTTGCAAAAGTTTTGTAAACAAGTTCTTGCCAAACCAATCCCTTCCTTTTTAAGATGCTGCGTGACAAATGCTTATGATGGTGCAAACTTCTTGGCTTGTGCTCGAACCCTCTTTTCATATTCCACTCTGTTTTGGCTGAAAAGAGAGAAAGGGTAATTACAGCTGGAGAAATCAGAGGCCACGTTATAGAGCTAGTTCATATTGAAGAGAAAGAGAAGCAGTCATTGTTGAAGGCAAAACCATCAGATAGGAATTCACTGAATGCTCCAACAGATTAAAAGCTTTTCTGGACTACTGATCTGATGATTTCCTTTGGACAGAAGTACAGTACTGTTCACCTGTTACTTCCCAAACATCACCTGCTGTCAAATGACGGGTACAGTGTGAAGTCAGTGCAGTCTCCTGCTCTCTCAGGGCCAGCTGTGCCTCCTGAGCAAGCACTGGCACTCACCACAACGCTCACATTCAGACCTGAGGGCATTAGCCACTAATTCTAGTACCCTAACAGCACAAACTGATTGATAAGAACAGTTCACTAACAGTTCATGGACTTCATATGATCTTAAGGTATTATCTTTACTGCTTTGGAGAGAGAATGGAAGCACTCTGAGAAAAAGGAAAATAACAGAATGGTAACTTCAGCCTTTACCTTTGCAGAGCCTGACTCACAGCTTCAGGTTTATCCTTATCTTGAAGTGGAGGAATGCTAGCTCAACATAGAGCACTGAGTGTGGCATCCTTGCTGTGGACTGATTAAACAAGCAAGTACTGCTTGAGGGAACTATGCTCAGTCATTAAGCCTCAGACTCTAGATTTTAAAAGGGCAAGTTCTTTGTTTTCCATTCCTGGGCCAACAAGGGATGGTAGTAGCTTAGCAGAGTATCCATCTACACTCAATGCCACATTCTGTGCTAGCTGTCAGAAGCCCCAGTCCAGAGCTAAACACAGATTTGTTACCATGCCCCTAGTGCCAAACATGGTTTACAATAACTGGACTTTGCAGACAGCTTTGCAATAAATGTAACTTACTCTCAGCTATGAGGCCTTGCTGCAGTGAAAGGGAGAAAGGACAGCAAATTCTATCTCCAGAACTTGACAGATAGGGGGGAAGAAGAATCGAAACCAATTTTGGCCACAGCCAATGAGTAACTACCAGCAAACAGACTGAAGATGCTCTACTTTCCTCTCATAAACATATTACAACCTGTGTTAGGAACTGCAATGATAGGACAAGGGGTAATGGGTTCAAACTGAAGGAGGGAAAGTCTAGGCTGGATGTGAGAAAAAGGTTTCTTACTGTGAGGGTGGTGAGACACTGTCCCAGGTTGCCCAGGGAGGCTGTGGCTGCCCCAACCCTGGCAGTGTTCACAGCCAGGTTGGATGAAGCCTTGAACAACCTGCTCTGGTGGGAGGTGTCCCTGCCCAGGGCAGGGGGTTGGGGCTGGATGATCTCTAAGCTCCATTCCAACCCCTAAATTCTATGATTCTGTGAAGTTATCATTTTGTTCAAGTTTAGCACAATCTAGGCATCTCCACAGGACATAGTCATGAGCTAAGAAAATTCCCCTGATCACTCCTAACAACATTTGCGTATTATAGTCTATGTAGCAGAGTTGTGGGCAACATGGCAAGCTTTCAAGACACTTACCAGTAAATTGTGTAAGCCTCTGCTTGAGCTGGGTCTTGAATATTTGGTTCATTTAGAAGTTCTTGTATTCCTAACAAGATCTGTGAAAAAAAGAATCCAAGTAACATAGGCATGGATATTACTGAGACACTCAATGCATAACCCACAGAAACATGCAGTGAACACCTGACATTCACATCAGGTAAGAAAACAAAGCAAATCAAAGGGCTGAGTATGTCAAGTACAACTCCTGACCTGTTTAATTGTGATTGCTGGCCGCCAGTCCTTATCCTCCTCTAAGATGGACAGACACACCGTGCCCGAAGGATACACGTTTGGGTGAAATAATGGTGGTTCAAATTTACCTGGTGAAGAACAGAGCATTACTTGCAAGCAGTGCTAAGACAGATCAAGAGAGTAGGGTTAGATGAGTGGGGGGAAAGCAAAACCCCCAAATCCCCAAACCAACACTGGCCAAAGACACCCCCCACCCCCAAAGAAAACCCCACAGAGCTCTGGAGCTACTAAGACCAGTTTTGTGCTTGTCCCAGCCTGAACCTAAAGCAGGAACTCATCACATCAGTGGTGTCAATCCAGGCAATCTAACATCATCACTGTGACCAGGAACCTTTCGGTTTAGGAATGCAAACTGCCAGAATAGTTTGTAGTATCTTTCTGATAAAGACCTTTTCAAACCAATTCTGTCTTTTCAGCCTCACACACTACTACACAAGGAAAGGTACTGCCCTGCAGTCATCTTGTCTCACTTGAAAATACTGGAAGTTTCATACAAGGAAGACTT